GTTTAACATTAAATGTATTAAGTCACTGAAAACTTTTGAAAATCTGAATAGGAAAATTCTATCTTGTAAATTTGATTTCTCACAGGGACTCTGCAGGCATTCCTTCTGCCAGGTTGGAGTAATGGCCCTGGTTCTCTATGTAATGAGACTTTAACCCTTCATTTACTGTTTTGATCTCTGGAGTGGTGCCTGAAAAACCAGGAATATGTCTAAGGGAAAACACTTGATGGACATTCCAATAGAATAAAAATTGCTAGGGTGGCCTGTCTGAACCACCCAGGACCTATATTTGTCAGAGACTATGGTCATCTCGGAATGGGGAATGAGTATCATTTACCTGGAATTACAAGTATGCTTCTAAAAGTCCAGTGCCTCTTGCGACTTGCTCCCAGTTCAGAGCAATATTTGCCCTCCTGTGGAATAAGCAAATCATGGGGGAGACTCATCTGAGGATAGTAACTTCTATCACAGGAATGTCCTAGCTGCAGCGCAGCTTTGGCGACAGCATTGAGGTTCTTGACTTGTAGAATCAGCTGAGTCATTTGATCCTATCCTTTGGGGATTAGGAATTGGATGATAAAATTCTTCAGATGTTGGGAGAAGAGGGCATGGAAAATCAATGTGTTGCAGAGAAGGTTAGAGCTTTTACCATCAAAGAACAGGCTGGATTGAGGCCCAAGAGATTCTGTGTAGATCAGATATTTACGCTAAGAACCATCATAGAAGAATGTATAGAATGGCAGGCTCTTGTTTATTATCAGTTTCAAAAGGCATTTGACAGCCTGCATGGGCATACATTGTGCAATGTTGGTCAATTTTATGGAATTCCAGCTAAAGTCATTAACATCAAGGCTATGTACAGCGATGCAAAGTGTTCTGTAAAGGTGAACAACCAGAAAATAGACTGGTTCAGTGTGGATATTGGCATGAAACAGGGCTGTGTTCTGTCTCCACTGTTATTTGACATTGCTGTAAACTGGATAATGAAGTATATTAGCAATACAAACACTGGCATAGGATGCATAGAAGGCAAATGCCTAGAAGATCTAGACTTTGGTGATATTATATTATGGAACAACACTCCAAAAATCTACAAAGACATGTTGGCAAAAACAGCAGGCCAAGCAGGGATCAAAATCTGTTACACCAAAACAGACATCCTTGAAGTCCAGATGTCAAGCGGTAACACAATATTAGAAGGCGAAAACATCAAGGCAGTAGAACAGTTCCTTTACTTGGGCAGCACTGTCATGGGGGTACAGCCCTCATCGCCAGAGGCACCTCCTCCTGGTCATGCTGGGGATTAGCTCAAGGCTGATGCCCACATCCACAGTTTGCACACCAGCATTCTGTCTCTGCTCGCGCCTACGGCGCCTCTCTGAGCTCCCAGAACCTCAGCATCCTCTTTTCAACTCAGCCCTCCGGCTAGGTCATCAGCTGTGTTTTCCCCTTCCAGGGTTAGGTATCTCTGTCCAACAGTCCAGCCACTTCCCCAGGAACAAAGGGGGGAGGGGGAGGTGACCCAGGCCCTCCCACCACTCCAGGCCCCAACCCAGGCACCCTGTAAATAGCAGCCTCCTGTTGTCCTCCTGTAGCCTCTGTCAATACTGCTCTATTTCCCTGGGCCACTTCCTCATGGCCCCGGCACCTTCTTCACCCTCATCTCAGAGCGCAGCTGCTCAGTCCCAGGAGCCAGCCACTGCTCTGTCCAATGTGCTTATAGTTCTGTCAGCCCTCCAGGGACACAGTCCTTACTCCCTGGGCTCCCAGCAGCAACTGAACTATTCTGCCCTGCAACTCCCTTTTATATGGGCTCAATGGGCCCTGATTGGCTGTTCCTCACTGTAGCCTCCCCAGGTCTCTATTAACCCCATCTCTACCAGTGTGGTGCAGGTGTCCCATCACAAGCACCATACTAGCTAATGGAGATGTCAAGAAAGAAGTGACGTCAAGGATAGGAAGGGCATTCACAACATTCACTAAACTAAATAACATTTGGAAATCAAAGAGAGACAATACCAGACAAAACCTGAAAAAATTCAGCTCAGATGTAATCTCAGTGCTAACATATGGCTGTGACAGCCGAAGAGCTTCCAATACGTCATATAAAAAATTAGATATCTTTTTAAAATAAGTGCTATAAAAGCTTCTGGGGCATTCGATGGTGTGACATTATTACCAACATAGAGATTGGGGAAAGTACCAACCTGAAGGTTGTCAGAGAAAGTACCAACCTGCAGGTAGAATTAGGAGGAAGTTTTGGACATATTTGGGGCATGTACTCCGGTTGCCAATATGCAGACTCCCACATGAAGCTGTCAAGTGATAACCAATTGGGTGCTCTCATTTCCTCACTCAAGGGAAACCTTAAGAAGAACCATTAGCTGGGAGGACAGAACAGTCAAACTCAACACCATAGAGCAGATGGAAACAGCAGCTAATGATAAAGAGGGATGGAAGAAACTAGTTTCCACTCCGTGTGCCAACATTGGCATGAGAAGGATATAGTCTATAATATCTGGGGTGCCTGAGGAAGCTAGGTCTGCTCAGGTTACCATCACAGGATGGTAGGGGCTTTAGGTAAGAAAGAACGGCATGTTAACTGTTTTAAAAATCCTTTTTCTTTAAATGCTTTGTTCCCACTGGTCAGTAAACAATATGTTAGTTTTAAGAAGGCTGTTTGCTCACTATGTTCACCACTGATCACAGACTCTCAAAGGTAAGAACTGCAGGTGGTGAACCCAGTTGAACATGCTGGGAAATGCAGTTGATACGCTGCTTACTGTAGTCCAGGAGTATGGGCTAGGAGTGGGAGAATTGCAGAATTCCACCCCAGAAGAGGTAGTGATGGCCTGAGATCTTAGGGGGCACAGAAAGGGGACAGAGATGCAACTAGCTCTGTATTGGGGGTAGCCGTGTTTGTCTGTATCCACAAAAACAACAAGGAGTCCGGTGGCTCCTTAAAGACTAACAGATTTATTTGGGCATAAGCTTTCGTGGATAAAAAAACCTCACTTCTTCAGATGCATGGAGTGAAAGTTACAGATGCAGCTGAAGAAGTGAGGTTTTTTACCCATGAAAGCTTATGCCCAAATAAATCTGTTAGTCTTTAAGGAGCCACCGGACTCCTTGTTGTTTTTGTGGATACAGACAAACACGGCTACCCCCCATAAAGAGCGAGGTTGCTCTCTGTCTCCTTTCTCTGCCGCCCACGCTTCCA